GAGAATCCGCGCGGGTGAACTGGAGATGAGCTTCTTCGTGCGAAACTTCTTCGCGCGATCTGTGCTCGACGACCAGTTCCGACGTCTTTAGCTTTGGGCCCCCTCAGTGATGGGCAGACGAAGCGACCTTTCCCAGACCATCCATGGGACTGGAATGGTGACCCTACAACTGACATGGACCTGGGTCGCAGGGCCACCCCAGAAATACGTCACTTCCTCTACAAACCAGTGGTTTTAAGGGTCCATGTTAGCTTTCAGCGGGGTACCTACATTGGGGTCATGTTCATGGGGTTAATGTATGACATACTGTATGTACCTAAACATCAGGCACATCAGGTTGAACATCAGGTGATAGACAGACTTTGTCTCCTCGAACTTCGTGGACCGCACGTGTGTTTTTAAACAGCTGCACGTTTTTTCCTGGCCAAACACATCTTTCATAGCTTAGCAGCTTAGCAGAGGTCTGGGCGGACGACCTGACCGCTGGAGCCAGCAAAGCCATGCTAAGAAGATGAGTGTTGGGTCGTCAAGAAAAGGCCCCAAAGTGGGGAGGTTTCAACCACACCGCTGATTTCATGTTCGAAAAGACACACACAACGGTTTTGAGCACTTTGGAGTGGTCGGACTGCTTAGATAGCCAGAGTCCGGTCAAAGCATGGGGTTTGATTTAAGGGGTTTGGATCCCAAATGATGAGGCATTAAGGAATTTTCAGGCATTTCCCACACCCACCGACTTTATTCAGTCCATGGCAAGAATGAATGACCTGGGACATCTTTTGGGAGGCCTCTTTTGGGAGGCCACTCACTCTCAGAATCCCGTGAGATGCTGAGCTTTTGGGGCAAATACCGTGCTTTGTTTCCACAACATGAATTGTGGTCGGAGGTCCAAACCCTCCAACCCTCAGTAGTAATTACATATAAATTATACGTATATATAGTAAAGTATGTATACTTCTACACCCCCAAACACCATCCTCAAACCCTTATATCATCTTATATCCCTCCAATCCATCCGGATTCCTTTCTTTGGATGCCCCCTGCCAACAGAAAAACACCACCCACTGCCTTCGACTCGGTCTCCCTCCCGGCCCCAACGAGCTAAGCCCGCTCGACCTCCACCTACCCACACCCGACCCGGGCCGAGGTGACCCATCTCGCACAAGTCCGCTCCGTCCGCGTTCCGAGGTTCGGCAGAGCGCCATGGACGCCTTTGTGACCTTGGCCTCGCACCTCCGTCCCGGCGACTGTGGCGACCAGGCCGGCCGTGGGCACCGGTGAGGGGAAGGGGCAGTGGCACGGGAACGGGCACACGGACCGAACTGCCCGCGCGTGCCCAAAGCACCCGGTGGTATCCGGGTGTGGGGCCTGGGGTGCTGATATAGGGATGCCTCCGCCTCTCCGCGACTGGCCGGAGAGAAGCACGGCTGGTGCAGGTGTTAATGCCGGTGATCTCTTTGTCGCAGAGCAACGACGATGAGGCGAGGGTCAAAGAGAGTCGAGGGCGAGTCGAAGGCGAGTCGCAGGCGAGTCGAGCGTTGGAAGGCGCGTCGACCGGTGGAAGGGGAGTCGACCGGTCACTGTCAAAACATGTCAACGTCCAGGAGGGCCCCGTTTGTTCTAATTCTACGGCGTGTAATTCAAGTAGATAGAGTGTGCGTTCCTTTCTGTTGTTCTGGTATGGACTTTGGTCTTTCTCAGTACCTTTTCAGGAAGTGGGACACGGTGTGTCCGTGTGTCCTGCAACATGACGAATAGAGTGCCTGTGCTTAGATACCTGGATCTGACCTGCACGTCCAAACAAGGTGTGCCTGTTCATTCATCCCTTCACCAGCCCAAGTTAGGCAGACATGTCGCAAAACGATATGTCTCAGTTCCCAAGTCTTCCATCCTCTCCACGCCTGGTGCGCCCAAAGCCTGCGCCGGACGTGGCGCGATGCTGCGCCAGGAGGCTCGAAGCATGGCGGTGCAACTCTTGGGACACTTGGCGGAGGCGCGTCGTCCAAGGAAAGGCAGGCAGCAGCGATGGAACATACCATTATGATCCATCATGTGTCATTCATGTAGACTGTTGATTAAGAACCTTCCCATATGAAGAGGGTCTTTCAATCCAAACGGGTCCATTGATCAAGAGTCCAAAACGATCAAAACCATCTTCAATTCAGCCCCAATCGCTTTGAACCTCTTTAAGGGTGCCACGACGCTGGTGCGACGACGCTCACAGCTCACAGCCGGCGGTCCGGTCGCTCTCAGCGGTGCCGTAGAACGTGGGGCTTGAGCTGTGAGGACCCTGGGTCCGCACACTGTGAGGACCTGTGTCGCATCGCATCGCACGGAATCGTGGGTTGTTTTTATACCTGTGAGGATGTATGGTCATTTTAGGTGCCGTACGTAGAAAGTTTTTTGTTCATTAATTACTATTTTCTATTTTTAAGGACCGCACACATCCACCGATGTCCAAACCAAAGGCCATTTTTGGTGAAGGGTTTCCATTGGTTGATGTGTGGTTTCGGTGTCCGGAAGGCCTCCGAACAGAAGCAGAAACGGTGATGTTGTATTGGTTTTGTTGGTGCTCACCGAAGGGTCGGTGCTTGGTGGTGTGGACGGGCCAAGAAGCAAACGTGGTCGCTGGTCGCTTCGGGCCTTGAGGCGGTTGAGGAGGACACGTTCGTTCGGTCCAGGGACTAGAAGAGATGGACTGTGCAGTAAATATAGCCGCCCTCTTGTTGTGGATCAGGTCTCCTGAATGAAGTGGATCTTTTGATGTTCTTCCAGCAGTCACAAGACGGGGTGCTATCCATGGAGCTTAGGGGAGACGGGGTGCTATCCATGGAGCTTAGGGGTGCCCAGAACATCCACTCACTGGATGGGACGAGCCACACCACCCCGAGCTCTGTGACTGCTGGTCCTTTTCTTTGTCTTTTTTCCAGCGTAATGACCTTCATTTCTGCCGTGTCCTTATCTCCACGTCGAACCGCCAGACTGATCGTGTCTGACGCGGTCCCGCGGGCGTACCATAGGATCCACTGCGTGCGAAACGCCAGAGGGCTGCGAGGGGCGAAGTCTGGGCCGGTCAAACGAACTCCGGTCACATGCCCCACCTTCACAGACCCCAGCCTACCTCAGGTCCAATGGGGTCTGGACGGTTTGGGTCGAACTTTCAGACCAACACCTCCCAGCCTTTTGGAGCCCTGAAGAAGCCCGGCTCCGTCGTGGTTCACCGTGGTTCATGTCGCTGTGATGTGGATCGCCAGGCGTTGGGCCCGGAGTTGTGTCAACAATTCGTGGGCGTTCAGCTCGAGGCCTTTTGCGAGGACCCATGTAGGTGGGTTGGGAGTGGGTGACGCTTGGTGACGCGTGGGTGACGCGTGGGTGCAGGTGGTAGGGCCTGGTGGGGCCTTGTGGGGGGCGAGAGTGAATGGAAAGCGAGATGTTGCCATATTCAGTGAACAAATGAACATCCGTAGAATTGAGGATGGCAATGGCCATAAAAACCCCATGCTGTGGCCCTCGTCTCCCAGCTCGCGTTCACCGTCTTCAACATCCTTTTCCATACTAAGGCGAAGGTTTTTCAGGACACCATTTGGGTGCTTAGGGGCTCCATCTGGGTGCTTAGGGGTCAGAGCATTTCTGGACAGGGGCCCCACCACTTCCTATACACTCCTCAGATGCTTTGATCAATTTGTGCATCCTTTTTCCAACCCAGTCAGGCAGACATTTGGCATAGTCATAGTCAGGTCAGATCCAGGTATGGCTTTGGTTTTGTTCAGTTCTTTCTCTTGGGTCAGATTCTCATTCGAGTGAAGCTGCACCCAAGTTCTTCGCCCGGACCCCATGAAAAGAGTCTATACTACGGCTTGCCTTTTAAACAAATGGCTTACCGATGTCCGAATCCATCGCTTGTTTCTATTTTTTCGCGGAGCGAAGAGAAGCCACGGTGTGGAGCGTGTTTTTCATTGAGCCAGTTGCGTACACCAAATCAGATCCAAGACTTGGGATTGGAGGGCTCAGAAACTGGTGCTATTTGCACACGACCTATGGCCTATGGAACCTATGGAACCTCTTCTTGGATCTAGATCTAGTCTATAAGCCTTATAGTATAAGGATGACTTCTCCTCCCTTCCCTGACGCGGGTACTGGTGCATTCGGGGCTCTATTTTACACAATGAATCACGAATTAACATGCAGGATGAGAAGACCTTGTATGATAATCTTCCCAAAGACCTCCAGGTCGTGAGGACTGCTTCCCGAGGTCAGCTGATGGATTTTGAAGATCTGAACAAACTGGTTAATTATTTTGACGGTCGATTAAGCAACCCCAACACATACCTGGATCTGACCTGACTATGCCAAAGGTCTACCTAACTTGGCTGTTTTTTATGGATGAAAAGGCAGACAAAAGGGTCACAGTCAGGTCAGATCCAGGTATGAAAACCATCCTTGGTAGGAGGGCTTATATAAATCAATCGTCAACAACCTTCGACTTCTAGCCAGCACCCCGTACCTCGTCCCCCGGACGGGTGTTGGGTGCCGGACCCCTGGACGTGGCGCCATTTCAGCTGGCTCGAGACACGGATGAGCCTGACGAGCCTTTGGGTTGGTGCGGGGGGAATTGGCCTCTGATGCCTTGGAAAACGGAAGTCCGCAGGTTCCGCAGGTTCCGACCCCCAGCTACGTGGACAATGAACCAAAGTGTGAGAGAGATTTGAAAGAAGAGCTCACTTTCCAAGCGCTCAGTTCCAGCAACAAATACTTCACAGATGGGACCAAGTGACGGCACAGCTACTCAATTGGGGTACACCACTAGCAGCTACTCTAAAAGAACACGCCCCGCACCACACCAAGAACCAAAAAAACCATACCAGGACCCTCCAAGGGGTGTCTATGTATCCCCTTAGCCGTGATTCCGGGTGTCCATTAACCACCCCGACTGGGGGTCCTGGTATATTAGGGTGTGTCGCAAGGTGTAGTCCAAAATGGTCACTCAGAAAGTGCAGTCCAAACTTCTCAGTCGACACACCAGCTCAGTCGATGGCGTAACTTCTGCGCGAGAGCGCGAGAGCTGCGCTGCTTTGCTTCGCTCCCTCGGGCCTGAGACGAAGAAGTCATGCCCAAGAAGCCAGTGTCTGGGCGGTTCAATCGATGGGAGCAGAGAATGGAGCTAAACGAGTCGCATAGGAGTTGGGTGGTGTGTGGCGCTGTGGCTTCCATCCCGGGCCGAACTGCGAGTCACAGGGGGCCACCAAGATAGCTCCGAGTCGGCTCTTCGAACTGCCTTCAGCCCTTGAAACTCCTTCGACCGCAGCCCGACTTCGTGGTACCGCGCCGTCCGACGCCTTCCGCCGTTCGCCTCCGACCCGGCGACCCGGCGACGTCGGCGGGCGCCGTGCGGCGGGCGCCGCGGCCGAGGAGCACACCGTGGACTTCTTGCGATGCGCCGACCTGCCGCCGCAGCAGGTGCGGAGCGGACGGGGGGCGGAGCTCGGGTGGGTGGGGGCGGGTGGGTCCTGTACCGGTGCCGGTGTGGGAGGTGGGAGCGACCAAAGTAAGGAGATGTGATTTGACACATAAAAAGCTATGAAAAGACAATAGGTCGCAGTTGGAAGATCCAGGATGATCCCGGTAGGGCGCTTGCTTGAACACGAGTCATGCACTCGTCAGCTTCTCTGGCCTGCTTGGATGAGCCAAGTTTGACACTCGACCAAAAGCGGCTGGTTTTTTCACAGCTTTTTGGGGGTCCCAAGAACCATCCAAACATTGATTATCCAAATGGATCATTCGTTGGTCATGAACACGAGAGGGCACAGAGGAAGCATGAACACAAGGGGGCACAGAGGAAGGTGGGGCCTTGCCAGACTTCTTCAAGTGACTGGTGCGACGAGGGCGCCTGGATCCCTTTGAGGAACCGAACCTCTCTGAGGAAGGCTCATTCTTCTCCCCAGAATTCTTCCAAAAGCATGAACGACAATAACATGAAAGAAACACATGTCCAAAAGAACATGATAACAGCATCCTATCAGCATCCCAGACCAACACAGAAATTCACAAAAAACACTACGACAAAACACATCCTAGACATTCCGGGCATGTTCCTGCCCCCGAACAAATCATGTCCTTCACTTCACTCGCTCCGCTCAAACTGCCCCCACCGCCCCACCGCCCACCCTCGACTTGGTTTAGGTGGCCTCGGAGCTCAGCCACGCGCTGCGGCTACGAGGTGGGTGGGCTGGATGGGAGGCGTTTTGGGCTGTTTCGGATGCTGGGCGGTGGGGTGTTTTGTTTCAAGCTTGGACATGAAGAGGGTGGGGAGCAAAGATAAACATATTGCTTTGGAGTGTGAAAGATTGAGGGTTTCAGCGTGTTTGAGCGTGGCTCGATGTGGAAGATGGTTGGTTGGATTTCGGTGGGAATGGTGGGGGATAGAGAACTTCTGCACCGCCCCGAGCCATGGCTCAAATGTGTGATGTGGCTACCGAAGTGGTTGAAGTGGTCCTTGTCGAACCTCAGCCTCCAAAGCACTCTGGTGAAGCGCTCCAACTGACACAGCCCTGATCTATCACACCCTCCGGTTCCACGAGCGAACCCATGAAGTTGACGGGAGTGTAAAACCACTCATCCCATTATCCATTCAAGGAGCATGTTCAGAAAGCTTGGCCTGGTACACCGGGTTGCTGGGTTGAGTGGATGTCTCTTAGCCCCTAGACTTGGCCCTGGACCATCAACCTCTGTCGTGGCTTGGGCGAACGGGCGAGCTGCCTTTGGTCGAACCAGCTCGGTCCAACCAGCTCGGTGGTTGCTGTCCCTTCCGCAGCGAAGGCTATGCCACCGTGAAGTTGGGCTCCTCCAAGGAACGGGCGTGCGGAGATCGATGTCAGGGCCACGCGTGGAGGGAGGGGGGCTGTTGTGCCACCTGGGCCACCAGCCACGTGGCCGTGGACTTCGGAGCTTCCAAAACCAGTGTTTCCTGACCAAGACTTCGGTGGCCCAGGTCCTCAGCCTCTTGGCAGGTCCTCAGCTTGTTGAGTCTTAGAGGAAAGATCGATGTGATGCGTTGAACTGAAGATCGTGAAGATGACGTCAGGGCTTCGAAGGGGCATTCCCGGTTCGAAGTCTTCGGATGATTTTGGGGCATTCCCGTTCGAAGCACCGGCTTCCTCATGATGTTTCCTGAACTCAGATTGCCTGTCATCAGACCATTGTTTTAATGGTCTGAATCCCAAAGAACCATTGTGTTTACTAAGGATTTTTACACTAACACCACCAGCTCAACCGTTCGTTCAATGGTCGAACTGAAGGCTAGGGAGACCCTTGTTTGTGGTCAGACCTGGACGACCGGATCGGGGCTCCGAACCTCGATCCAACGATGACACCCACTTCTTAGGGGTCGAACCTGAGCCTGGCCAGGTCCAGATCTGAAGGTAGGAACGGGTCGAGTCTTGGTCCAGTCTGACGTCTAACGTCCTCCCGGGTCCGGAAGGAGCCTGGTTTCGTGGTGTTTTTGGTATGAAGGAACTCCAGTACTTCATGAGGTCCCAATGGATCTGTAGGGAAAGAGCAGTGGCTGCTGAGTCTCTTCCACTGCTCTGCTGATCTCTGTGCGGATCAGGAGGGGCTGGAGTCCATCTTGACGGCTGCCAAGGGCACCAAGGATCAGCTGGAAGCGGTTCCTGATGAGCTGCTGGAGCGAGATGGGGTTGAGGGAGGATGGGAAGATGGCTGAGCAAGTGTAGCAGCTTCTCTGCATGCTCAAATTGGATCATGCTCGGATCTCCCAAACACCTTCACAACCTCACACCGTGAGATCACAGTGGTGTGGCAGTTTTTCTTCCTCCCGCTCAATTTTTTGCGAACATCTACACTTGAAGCAGTTTTGTTGTTAGGACAAGGTGTATTTTTGAAGAGAAACCCTGTGGTGAAGGGTGGGTTTTAGTGGGCTGCAACTGGACAGGCGTTCCCAGCGGTGATGAAGACAGTGGGGACTGAAGTCCGTTCTATGATCGCGCGATGTCTTTCAATGTCTTTCATGCCAGGAAGCTCCAGGATGTTGTCCAACCAAAAAACATCGCTAGGATTAACATGGACCAGTCCGACCATCTGGTTGGACAGTTATCCAGAGGTCCTTGTTGGGGTTGGGTTTGGTGGCGAGCCCCATTTTGGGTGTGAACCAAGGGGATTCTTTTCTGTTAAGCCTTTGGCTTTGCCATGTATTTTTTCCATGTAACCAAGCTTTACGGATTTGAACACTTCAAAACCCAGGTCTTTCCAACCTTTCCAACCTGGTCTCTGAAGCCCGACCCACGGTCGCCCACCGAACTGGGTCGCCCTCCGAACCGCCACGGACCGCCACGGTGTCGCGGTCGCGGTGTCGCGGTGTCGCGCCTGAACGGAGCCGGTATCACGCCGGACCCGTGACGCTCTTCGTTTTGGGTAAGACCAGGGGGGACAAGAGGAGGACAAGGCCTGGACACAGAGCCCAGCCACTAAGACCAGGGACCAGGGGGGACCAGGGACCAGCCCCTTGGCCGTTGGGCGTCACCCTTCTGCCGGACCCTTGGACCCTGACAGGACATGCGAGAGACAGACGGAGCCCCGGTGTTGGAGAAGTCTCCAAATCCGCTCAACCCAAAAACGGTGATTTTTTTCGGCGGCTTCGGAAGATTCAAAGCACCCCCATCCAGGGATGGAAATCCGGGGATGAACATGTTCTTGCTGATGGTACGAGACCCCCACATCCGCGCCCTCTCCTGTTTCGCCTCCATTGGACATCTTGTACATGTATCATGATAACATCACATAACCCTACAGGTCAAGGACCTCATTTGACTGGGTCCGGGAAAATGCAAAACCAGTACTAAATGAGGTCGGTCGGACCAGGTTAAACTTGTCCCGGCTCGACTTGCAGGGTAATAATGCAATCGACATCCAAAGCCATCCTCCTTACCCCTCTTTCTTCATTTGTATCGGTTCGTCGTTCACTCCTCTCAGCCCCAGATCCAAGAAGGGGCCCATCTGTCTCTTCCGTGTGGCACCCAAGTCAGTGAGGGTGCTCAGAGTCTTATAAAAATCCTCTCAACCAAAGAGCAAAAATACAAAGAGATGATTTTTACAGGTTAGGACATAAGGCACATGACTTTTATTGGTTGATCTTTCTTTTTTCATTTGTTCCAATAAAATTCATGACCTTGTCTTCCACAAATCCATATCCTATGTTGTTTTCTTCTTCATGGATTTTTGGGGTGGTCCTTCATCATGTTAATGAAGAGATAAAGAAAACATGAATGAAGGCCACGTATATAAAGCCTAGCATTTTTTTAAATTCATCTCTGATTTCATACCTTCTTCCGCCTCCATTTGGCCCACCGAAAAGGACCCGAGTGGACGACCGGTGCACCGGGCGCGTGGGGCTTCGGCGCCAGGACAGCTTCCTGGGCCCCAACGGCACCGGCGCCGTGGCGCAGCTGCGCGAGGCCGACGATCTGCCGGAGGTCTTTCGAGAGAAGACCTCCAGGAGTGGCGGGTTTCCGCGTGGGACGGCACGGGACGGGACGGTTGGGGGGGACCGGCACGGGACCCGTTGGAGCGGGTCCGTGGGGTTTGCGTTGGGTTCGGGAGACGTTGGGGTTGGGGAGACGTTTTTGGTGCGTGGCGCGGTTGGCTGGGGTGGTTGGTTTGGTGCGGTTGGCTGGGGCGGTTTTTCAGAGTGGTTCTTGGGGGGGTGTGGTGTGGAGAATTTTTGGGGGTCAGATAGGCACATGGGCACTGTTTCCTGATGCAAACTTGAGAACCATGCCCAGTGGATCAGAAGAATGTGCCATGCAAAGACTTTCAGGAAGATTGATATGACTTTGACATACTTTGACTACGAACGACCAAAGCAACTCGATCGTTTTTGATGGTTTTTGGGCCCCGAAGAAGCAACCAATGTCCGCGTGGTCGCTCAGCTGTGGACCTGTCCGCCGCCCGGGTAGGACGGGTCAAGCTGGGCAGATCGCCTGATCGGCTTGAAGCCCCAAAGCCTGTCTTTCGCATCACTGGCCGGACCTCTGGAAACCATAGATGGCCTTTTACTTATGCCTGGGAGTCAAGTCGACGAAAAAAAAGAATGGTCTGACGAACGGGGAACTGAGTTCGGGAACTTCCTGCAACCTTCAGCCGGTCAACATAGAGTCGAACTGGACTTCTAGGGTTATTAGTTGGTTGATAGAGAGGATACCCCTCGGTCGTGTACAACCACCCAAGTTCAGTGACACCCGACCCATCGGTTCTTCCCAAGTACGGACACACCAGACCTCTTGTTTCAACCACCCATCCCCAAGGACTGGAAACGTGGACCGTTTAGCATCGAAGAAACAACGAGAGGTCGAGATGAGACCTGAGACCTCATTCAGATGAAATGCTGCTAGCCTCATACAGGGTCTTAGATACCCAGCTTCAAGTCCATTGAGTCCGTGTTTGGACCTCCTTCCAACCAAACTCTATCCCTGTCAAAAGACTAAGACTGAAAGACTGAAAGACTGGGCTAGCAATGGCTAGCAGCTAGATGACACCTAGCAGACCCGATGACCTGATTTGGAGAACCTCCTTTGGCCTCCGTCGTGTCCCGAGCGTCTTTGCACTTCGAGCCTATAGCGGTCTGACTTCGAGGCGGTAACGGGACCTTCCCACCTGTCGTCTCCCGCTACTCCGGCTTCTCCGGTTCGGCACGGCACGGGGTGCCGCGGTTCAGGATGCGCGCACTGGCGAAGGCCGCCTTGGAAGCCGAGGACAACTTGCCCAAGACGATCGTCACCAAGGAGAGAGGGGCGCCGTTGAGGAAACCACCGGGGGGCCGCAGACGGCAGATGCACAGGTTGGAAGCGCAAGATCGCTGAAGGAAAGCCGGTCCAATGCCAGGCTTCCAGTCGCCCAAGCAATGGATTTCATGGGCTTTCTTATAGAACCACCCAGCTGTTTTTCCTCAAGGATGTGACAACCACCCAGCTGTTTTTCCTCAAGGATGTGACACTCCCCATCCCACCAGCTCGTAGAGGAGTCGCCGAGACCTGGTGATGGGTTTTTTTTCGTGATTTGCCATTGATGTGAATGCTGAGAGCTTCTCCCCGTTCCGCAGCTCTTCCTTCCGCGGGGGGGGCGTTCACCTAGATGGAACCCTAGATTCACCTCGGTGATAGCCTCGGTTTGAGCCTCGGTGAAGCTTGTTCTTCCTTTTTGGAGAGGTCACTCCAGGGCTCAGTTCAGTCCACGCGTGCTGGTGCCACTGACTTGGTGAACCTGAAACAGCGGGGTGCACTCCATGGTGTGGCGCGGTTGTAGGGAAGGACCGGTAGATGAAAAAAGACTTGTTTCTGACACCACATAGGTCATCAAGCGTGGGTTACAGGCACCCGTCACCTTTAAGAATCATGCCCGAAATTGCGACTGGATTCTTCATCATATACAGGTATAACCCCTGCAGTTTTCTGAGGGGTTCGAGAATCTGCAGAGAAGAGATATGACTTTGAGAGTGGGTGGATGAAGGTTGTGGGTGGATATCGTAGGGAGGGAGGGAGGGGAGAGGGAGAGGGAGAGGGAGAGGGAGAGGGAGAGGGAGAGAGAGAGAGAGAGAGAGTGCATGTTGTTGAACACGGTCCGAGGGAAGGCGTTTCAAACTGCCTGCCAATCCACTCCTGAAGATAGTGACGCTCAGGTTCAGACTTAGTAGCTAAGTTATGGTGCGATTCCGTGTAAGGTTGGTGTGTAGGTTGTGAGCTCCAGTACTTGCTTCAAAGAGTTAGACTTCACCTTCCCTCAGTGAATTGGGATCGAGTCCTATCGAGTTCGTGTTTTGGACAGACGTGCCGTCTCCCTGCGCTGCCAGAAGACATATCCCACCTTTGTAGCTGAGGCAAAAAGAACGGCCCGTTTGGAGAAGAGTCACTCCAGAACGCTCATTATTCATAAGCCTTCACTATCAAGAGCGTTGTGTGGCCAGAGCATAAGCCTAAGCTATTCGCTGCATAGCCTCACCTTTTTGGAACTCTGGCCTCTTGGATTTTTGCATAGACCCTCTCCTTTCACTCTCCTTTCGGCAACGCCCCCAGCTGCCCACACGAAACGCTCCGCTCTTGTTTTGTGAACAGGACTATTTGGTCCAGGGCGGCGGCTGTGAGGGCGACGTGGAGCTCACTGAGGCCGATTGCAGCGAGTGGATTCAAACCTTGTCCCGTGCCAGGCGCGAGTCCCGCGGCGCCTCCGGCGATGGGTTGTGCCGGCGCGCAGACGGTGTGTGTGGGCGAAAGGCAGAAGGGAGGGAGTTGATTGGGGAGGGGCTGGAGGGGCTGGAGGGGCTGGCTTCGGTTGGTGTGTCATTCTATCTATGCCCTGAGAGGACTCTGAAAAGAGTGGTCTTTAGAGTGCCTGAAAGAGCACTTCCTTTACTTTACAGGAGGTAAAACGCAAAACAAGATGGAGCCCACGAACCCAAATGCAAACACGTTCAAAAAGCTACATATGTCCAAATGACATTCTTGTTTGTAGGACACTCTTGTGGGACACTCTTCTGGGACACTCTTGTGGGACACTCTTGTAGGACAATCTTGTGGGACGCTCTTATAGGACACTCTTGTGGGTCACTCATATGGGACACTCTCTTGTGAGACGCTCTTGTAGGACACCCTTGTGGGTCACTCTTACACGACACTCTTGTAGGACACTCCTTGTGGGACACTCTTATAGGACACTCTTGTGGGTCACTCTTATGGGACACTCTTGTGGGACACTGTTGTGAGACACTCTTGTAGGACACTCTTGTGGGTCACTTGCAGGACACTCTTGTGGGACACTCTCGCGGGACACTCTTGTAGGACACTCTTGTAGGAAACTCTTGTGGGATACTCTTGTGGGACACTCTTGTGGGAAACTCCTGTGGGATACTCTTGTAGGACACTCTTGTAAGGCACTGTTGTGGGACACTCTTAAGGGACACTCTTGTGAGACACTCTTGTGGGACACGGTTGCGGGACACTCTTGTGGGACACTCGTACGGGACACTCTTGTGGGACACTCTATCTGGGACATTCTTGTAGGATATGGTCACTTTTCGTGGCAGGCGCAGTACTTTGTGCGGGCTTTGAGGTGTGGAAGTGCGATTTTCGTGGCAGGCGCAGGGAATCGTGAGGTTGCGAGGTGTGACGGAGGTAACATTTCGTGGCAGGCGCAGTACTTTGTGCGCGTTAGACATGTGGACGCGGAAAGATTCGTGGCAGGCGCAGGGAATCATGAGGTTGTGAGTTGTGGTAGAGGTGAATGTCGCTTTCACATTGGGATTGGCGTGTGAGCGGGTGTTGTTTGAAAGGGCTGGAATCGCGAAACTGCTTGGCAGGGCTGCGTGATGTGTGTGCTCCGATGGGTGTTTCCGCTTGACTTTTGGAGGAAGTCTCGTACGAAACGCTCGTTTTGCAGACTTGGACATGTGAGTTTTTGAGGAAGTCTCGTACGAAACGCTCGTTTTGGAGACTTGACGTGTGACTTTTTGAGGAAGTCTCGTACGAAACGCTCGTTTTGGCGACGCGACGTTCGTGATGTCGCAACGCCATTGGGGTTTGCGCAGCCTTGGTGGAAAGTGCGTTTGCGTGGCGCCGTGCCACTGGGGAGCGTGAAACACGCTGGCGTAAACGCGGCGTGTCGCTGGTGAGCGGGATGATTTGTGGTATCATGTGACACGTTTGCTTCTAGTGTCTGGGCAGACCGTGTGGCGACGCGACGTTCGTGATGTCGCAGTGCCATTGGGATTCGGCGCCGTGCCACTGGGGAGCGCGAAACATGCTGGCATAAACGCGGCGTGTGGGATGATTTGTGGTATCAAGAGTGTCCCAAAAGAGTGCCCCGCAAGAGCTTCCTACAAAGTGACCCACAAGAGTGCATCTCATGTGAGCTTCAACAAAATTTGCACCACACCACACGTTTGGAATGATTTCGACCCGTTCTGAGCACACTCCCATCCACCAAAATCGCAATTTCAGCTGAGACTTGTCACGAAAACAGAGCTTCGATGCCACACCCTGAAACGGAAATCCCAATGGCACGGCCACATCCAACACCCCAAAAACACGACTCTCCAAACGCTAATCCCAATGGAACTGCGCAGCAAACTGCGGATCTCACAAGACGCTGCGCCTGCGCAGTGAAATCATCCTCCACACTTCATCATCTTACATGTCCACACGAATCCTCGCTATTTCATGGAATCTGACACGTCACGTTTTCATCCAAAACCTTCTCCAAAAGCTTCCCCCAATGGCAGCGCCTTAGCGCTCTACTGCGAACGGTTGCGAAGGGTTGCGGACGGTTGCGAACGGTTGCGAACGGTTGCGGACGGTTGCGAACTTAGAAACAACGGGTCGCGAACAAGGCTCTACCCCCAGACCCCCAGAGTTAAACGAGAACCCTTCGCTACGCATTCGGGAAAAAGGTCTTTCAACTGCTAGGGTATGAGTTTAGGATCTTCTGCGCTGGAACACCGTGTGTCGAGTGGCAGGATGATGCTCATCTACATCTTTGGCAAGGCGCTCAACCCACGGCCGATGAAACTAGGTGCAATGTAAGCCGAATGGGAAAGGAGAGCTACCCATCGTACCCATCCTTAGCCATCCAAGTGCTAGGTAGGATTCTTGCATGCTTGCAGGGGAAATGCCAGGTTGATTTGAATTGCCAAGGCCTGGGTGTTAACTGATGGGGTTTTTAGGAAGTTAATGAGCGAAGACATTTTGTAGTACCAGGCGGTGTATTTATATAATTGTTTATAAGGAGTCGTAAACGCATACGGGGACAGGATGATCGGACAAATCAGGGCAGCACTTTCGAGCGAAATGTTCGTTGAGATTCGTTGTGGAGACCCACCAGGAGCCCCCCAATCATGTTCCTACGTAGTGAAACATGTCGCAAAATGGGCCACAAGAACCACCACCTTTAGTGGTAGCTCTACCTTCGCCTTGTTTGTGTCCAAGGAAACACAAACAGGTGGTAATACGGTGGTCAATGCAGAACGAAGACTAAGAGTACAAACAGGTTTCTTCTGGATTCGTTATTGGACATCTACCATCAATTTGTATAGTCTCAGTCACTTGGTAGCTTAGTTTGTTCAGGATGAGTTGACGGTAGATGATGTTCGGCCTCGTCACAAAGGAGCCGTCGTCTATTCAACCAGGTTTAAGCTATCATACCATCGTGTTTGTCGCAATCCTGCAGAAACAAGGGTTCACATCAAGATGCTCAACAGAAGATGTGAAGCTCAAGATCAACCCCCCAAAGGATCTCCAAAGTCATTTGCAAGAGGAACTCTCCAACTATCGATCAATCTAGACCAACCAATGTGCAGACCGCTGGCTTTGGCAGTATACCGTCCCCAGATGCAGCGCTAGCCCCGGGCGAGCCGCGTCTCTAGCCAGAGCTGCGTGAGTTGAGCCGGCGGCCGCAGACGGCGGTGATCGTGGAACGCCCTCGCGTTGCGGACAGCCACGCATGAGCCGACGCCAGGGACAAGGTACCTTGGAGATCATGCCCTTCGGCGCCACCGAGGACTGGACGTGTCGGAGGGTGCGGACGGCGGAACAACGGCTCTCATGACCAATTAGGGCGGGTGCAGTTTCGGACGGTGCGTAAGGTTCCTCTGCAGCATAGGTCTTCAGTATCTGAGTATCTGGATCTGGGAACCAGCGAGACCACTTCCAGAATGTTTCAGGGCCTGGCAAAAATAAACCTGAGTGACCTTTAACTACTTTGGACCACCAACCATCAAAGCAGAAGTCATGTCTGGGCTCTAGGTCATGCCCAACGCGTGCGAAAGACCAAAGTTGAGGGGTCACGGCCCATGGAAAAAGAGGCATAGGGAGTCAGCAGAGTCGGCACAGCGTCACCAACTATTTTAAGGCCACCATCACCAGCATCATCAGCATCATCATCATCATCATCATCATCACTGCGGGAATGTTTTTGGATGCAAGGTCCTCGATTTGACTTTCAGAATCTGATGCGAGGAGGTGGAACCCATCGAATTCGTGACGGAGTCTGATGTTCTGGTGATGCTCCACTCAGACATCTCCTGGCACAAGCACGCGGCTGGTTGATTTGATCGATGGTCGACATGGGAGGTTGGTGACGTGGGGCAGTTAAGGCGCAAGGGGCTGGGGGTGGGGGTTCTAGTAGTTGGCGCAAAAGGAACCCAGGTGATTTCTGGTGGATCAGAAGATGATTTCTCCTCCACGTAGCTTCTGCCGCGTCCGAAGCAAGCTTCGCATGGTCGGATCTTCTCATGATCTACCCTGCTGAAGTCAAATCTCACTGGCACCCTTACCCAATAGTTGAGCTGGGTTGGAGTTCCAATAGGTTGGTAAATTCTAGTATAGCTCAATCTGTAAGTTCCACAGCCGTAGGTTAGCAAACTCTAGTCTTGTTCATTGAAGTTGCAATTGGCCAACTCTAGGTTAGCCCAAGCCATGATTGAACCCGTAGGTGGGCAACCTACAGTTTTGCAGGTCTGCATCACTGGCACCACTACCAAATAGTTGAGCTGGGTTGGAGTTCAATAGCCATGGGTTGGCCAACTCTGGGCTAGTTCCAGCCATGGTTGAACTTGCAGCTTTTTGGTCTGCATCACTGGCACCGCTACCAAATAGTTCATCTGGGTTGGAGTTTGAAAGCCGTAGGTTGGCACCGCTACCATCTAGTTGAGCTGGGTTGGGATTCGAAAACTGTAGGTCGGCCAACTCCAGGTGGCAACCTACACTTTTATAGGTCTGCATCACAGGCACCACTACCAAATAGTTGAGCTGGGCTGGAGCACCTTCGACTTCAATATTCTTTATTCATTGAAGGATCTTGGACTGCAACACTACCAAAGGTCCTATGGGGGTTCGGCTGCACGTTTGAACCAAACAGCTCCTAAGGTATCGACGCGGGGGACGTTCGCTCTGGTCTCGTGGGTTTTGGATGGTGGGTGCCTTGGCGACCTACATACTGTCACAGTGGCTCAAACCCTTGGGCAGCATACATGGGCTGAATACTTGGGCTGAATACTTGGCGACCTACATACTGTCTGGTCGACGGAGTCAAGTCAGTTCGGTTCTGAGTGAGAGAAGGGGTTCCGAGTGACATGGAAGCAGCCTCCTTTTCGGACGTGGACGATGGGTTTGCGTGTTCATGGAAGGGCAGCTCAGCTCTTGTGTTGTTTCGTAGACTGACCGGGCCTGGATTGGAGGTTCGAACGTCGACGCTTCGGTTGGTCCAAAACGTCGCTTTATGAAGGAAGACACCGAAGTACTCGAGTACTGAGGCCACAGCCAAGCCCTAGCAGAAGAGATTTGATGAGTAGGTATTCTTTTGTTCCAAAGCCTCTCACTTGAACACCCCTGTGAGGGGGCATAGACAGTTATAAGTTGGGGGTCTGCCAGTAAACCTGTGACCGTTGGTAAAAGAGTCTTATCGCTACTTTGGAGATGTCGACCTGACAATTTGAACCATCCTCCAGTGCGTATAGCTTGCGCTATATAGGATACATGGATACACCCAAGTGATATATCTAAGATCAGATGCACCTGACTCTTGCTGCACCCCGCCCCGGTTTTTAGATCAAGCACTGAATCAAGCACTGAACCATCGCAGGAAACCGACGTCCACACACCGTCCTTCACCGCCGACCGCGCGGCCGACGCGCTCCGAGGCCCTCCACGACCCGCGGCTGGAGCGGCGCCATTTCCCGGACCTTTGGCGCCACGCAGCCGGCGGTGAAGGACGGTGGGAGCGGGACTGGAGCGGGACTGGTGGGGCGGGAGTGCGTGGGTAGCGCAGGTGGGGCGTGTTTTCGTGGCAGGCTTATGTTGGAATGATTATTGAGGGAGGTGTGGGAAGAAAGATAAGAAAGAGCTGTTTTTTTTGGTATGATAGAGTTTCATGGTCTGCCAGTCTTCCGGCATTGATCATGGAGTTCACCACCTGTCGTTTGGTATGAGGATTTCCATGGTCTTCGAAAGGGCCTATGTTCTACGCTGGGCGGGGTGGGTAGGGATGGGGCGCAACTACTGTATATGACCATTGGGATTGGGATTGAAGGGGATATCATAAGGGTTAAGGTTGGGAACTCTATCAGGAGGATTGTGAAACAGATGGTGTGGTTGTTGCTGTTTGCAAAGCAACATCAAGCGGTCCGGTGTCCATGTTCCATCCATTTTCCTCACTGTACTGTAGTTGAGTGTCATTCCAGTCTCCTCACCTCAACTCTCACCGCCCGTCGAAACTACGCACCGCACCATCCACCAGTCACCCGTCATCCGCGAGCCCTTCACCCCGCGCACGCACCTCGCGTGGCCTCGCCACCTCGCACCTCTCGCGCTACGCGCCGTCTGGCGCGGGTCGCGGGGCGCGTCGGGGCGGTGGGGCAGGAGCTGCAGGAATGGTCACAGGATCGAATGGAAGAGCTCGCCGCACTCCATGCGGCGCAGCAGCTCGAGGCACAAACCAGCCAGGGGTCGGTGGTCGGTGGTCGGTGGCGTTCGTGGGGCTGAGATGCTGGACGCATCACATACACCAGGTAAGTATGCGTGTTGACTGCAACACATTGGCCAAGTGACCAGTGTATATCACTGAGCAGGTCTAAACCCAGCTTGGAGTTGAGATGCTGCTTGGTGATATCAACTTTCAACACTCACTACACCAAGCGAAAACCCTTGCTCATCTTGCTTCTGGCCCTTTCGAGGGTCTCCGGCGCCGGCCCGGTCCGGCGCAGGCGCCGTTGCCACGGGAGTGGGAGCGGATGGTGCGGCATAGCTACTTCTCTGGGGCGCCCCGGCAGGGTGGTCTGCCAGGTCCGGCTCCGTGGTCTGCCAGGTCTGGTCTGGTTTGGAGGTGTTGAGGCAATGAGGACGAAGGATTCGACACCACGAAAGCAGGTCGATCACTTTTTTGAAGTGCTCTTTGGAAGGCGAACGGGCACCGGGGAAAGGGGAAGGGGGAACAGGGGCACGGCGGGAGAGCTAAAGCAATGCTGACGTTGAAGACGGGGGGACAGCTGTAGGGCGTGAGCTGGCTTTGCAGTCGAGACTCCTTATGTAGTAAAAGAAGGGTTGTTCAGCAAAAGCCGTTACATCAATGGTGGGCCAGGACCCGCAGGTTTTTTTTAGATGTTTCTTTGGTAGCTGGATAGCTTCAACCTTCTCTAAGTGCCATCGTCTCTGAAGGTGCAATCGGGCCTGTGAGTTGCACACAAATGGTTCACCAGACAGTCGCAGCACATGACATGTGAAGTGTCTACTGCTCGGACCTCATTCCCTAGATTCCCTAGATCTTCTGACTGCACATTTGCTGCTTGGTTCATCAAATTAAACGCTGCCAAAAGATCCAGGTGTATCCTCCAGCTGCCTTAGCACTTCTCATATGACAACGCACCACTTTACCGAAGTTCGGTCCTTTTCTCAAAAAACCTTTGGGCCGGACTGAGTGTCCGCCGCCGCTGCTCGGCCCACGCCCGCGTGTTCTGCCGAGCCCACCCGCCCAGGAAATCATCCCCATCGCGGTGACGGGCCAAGCTGGACACCATGCGACCTCCAACAATACCCATTTGTGGTACAGCGCCCCTTGAACCCCAAACAGAGAGAAAGCGACGCGACTCAGGCTGATTCGACCCAAACACTGGCAGAAATTCTTCGTCTGTGTTTTTCTGGGTTTGGGCCATTGGGCTTTGTGTTCTTTTTGAGTTGGATCCGCCGGCAAAGACAGTAGTTCTTCGTCCATTTTTGGGGGGTTGGGGTGAGGGGTTGTGGGGTGGCGCGCCCGGCGAAGCGCAGACGTTTGCTGCAAAATCTATCATATTTGACTTGGTCATTGTGGTCACTGCGGCACAGCGATTTCTTGGTCGTTGTGGTCACTGCCCACAAGAAGCAATATAACATCATCCAGCACAAAAGCACAACCAACAGGCTACCCGGCAACGTTCAGTTTCATAGGTTTGCATCACTGGCACCACAACCAAATAGTTAAGCTGGGTTGGAGATTGAAAGCCATAGGTCGGCAAACTCTAGGTTGGCTCAAATCATGATTGAACCTGTAGGTTGGCAACCTTCAGTTTTATAGGCGAGCTGGGTTGGTCGAAAGCCGTAGGTCGGCAAACCTGTAGGTTGACAACCTACAGTTTTATAGGTCTGCAACACTGGC